ACACACCTCACACCCCCCCCCCACGCCCGCGCGAGTCGCTCATTGGGCGGCCGGCCGCGCGTATGCAAATGCCCCCCCCCCGGGGGGGGGGGGGGCTTCCCGCCCCCGCGCCGCTCGCCCATTGGGCGGATGGCCGCGCGTATGCAAATGAGAGGGTGGAACGCCGCGGGGAGACGCCACGCCCACCCGGGCGGCGAGGCCACGCCCACACCCCGCGAGGCGCGGCGGGGCCGTGACGTCACGGAGAGGCGGGGTGACGTCACCGCAGCACGACAGCGCTGCTCTGACGTCACCGTGACGTCACTGTGACGTCACTATGATGCATAACGCCATCCCAATGCGGCCCTGGTGCCGCCGTGACGTCACCGTGACGTCATCACCATCATTTAACCCTGCCCTGCCAGCCCCGCCGCTGGTCGGACGCAACCGTGACGTCACCGTGACGTCACCGACGCACGGCAAGCCCCGGCACCGCCGTGACGTCACGATGACGTCACCGACACACGGCAAGCCCCGGCACCGCTGTGACGTCACAATGACGTCACCAACACACAGCAAGCCCCAGCACCGCCATAACATCACGATGACGTCACGGCGACGTCACCACAACGCACGAACTCCCCGGCGGCTCGGCCCCGCCGCCGCTGTGACGTCATCGTGACGTCACCGTGACGTCACCGCGAGGCGCCGAGCCCGCCCGGACCTCGCCGCGGTGCCCGTGACGTCACAACCCCTCTGACGTCACCGTGACCCCGCCCTGACCTCAGCACGCCCTGGCCGTGACCCCTGACCTCATTCCCTGCCCCAAAATCCCCCCAAAAAACCCTGAAATCCACCTAAAAATGACCAAATCCACCGAAAAACCTCCAAATCCACCTAAAAACGCACAAAATCCACATAAAAACCTCCAAATCCACCTGAAAACCTCCAAATCCACCGAAAAACCCCCAAATCCACTGAAAAACCCCCAAATCCACCGAAAAACCCCCAAATCCACCTAAAAACGCACAAAATCCACATAAAAACCTCCAAATCCACCCGAAAACCTCCAAATCCACCTAAAAACCCCCAAATCCACTGAAAAACGCACAAAATCCACCTAAAAACCTCCAAATCCACCGAAAAACCCCCAAATCCACTGAAAAACCCCCAAATCCACCTAAAAACGACCAAATCCACTGAAAAACCCACAAAATCCACCTAAAAACGCACAAAATCCACCTACAAATCCACAAAATCCTCCCAAACCCTCCTTAAGCCCCCCAAAACCCCTAAAATTCCCCTAAGCACCCCAAACCCCCCAAACCTCCCCAAAATCCCCTCAAATCCCCCTAAACACCCCA